CATTTTCAGACCCTATGCAGGTGCATTGGGTCCTGGGTTCCTCCCCACCAGGAGGAACCCAGGACCCAATGCCTCATGTGGCGAGAGTATGCAGGCCGGTTCTGTAGGATGAAGGAATTGATACCATTGATTGGACCCCACGCTCGCCTGACCTAAATCCAATAGAAAACCTCTGGGACATTATGTTTCGATTCATCCGATGCTGCCAGGTTGCACCTCAGACTGTCCAGGGGCTCAGTGATACCTTGGTCCCGATCTGGGAGGAGATACCCCAGGATGCCATCCCTCGTCTCATTAGGAGCATGCCCTGATGTTGTCAGGCATGCATACACACATGTGGGGGCCATACAAATTACTGAATACCATTTTGAGTTGCTGCAATGAAATTTCAGCAAAATGGATTAGCCTGCCGCATAATTTTTTCGCTGTATTTTTTGGGGTGTCTTTGAATTCAGCCCTCAGTAGGCTGATAATTTTAATTTCCATCAAATGATGTGGTATCCTTTTTTTCCTAACACTTCACCCAGCCCATATCAATATAATAAACAGCATGATTTTTTTGCCCCATTAAGATCTTATGTGTTTTCAAAGTGTTCCTTTAATTTTTTGTGAGCAGTGTATGTATGTATGTATGCTTGTAGCTGTGTGTGCGTGAAACAGAGTCAGATTTTCTGCCAGACCTGCCGATGCAGATATAACCTCTAGAGCAGGGGTCTTAAATGTATTTCTGATTCTGTTTCCTGGTTTATTGGACGGGTGTTGTGAATAAACCGGTGCCCAGCTTGGAAGAGCTCCTGTGTGTTGTTGAATGTGTGCATTGATGACTGAAAGACATCTCCTGCCTCCATTTATCTGTTTACTACAGTGTGTTAAATTCATGTTAATGTGTATTTAAAGACATTTCAATTAGTGGAAAAAATTGCAGGGGTGAATATAAAAAAAAAGTCTAATCAACCAAAACTTTCGCGACCCCCATGCAGTACCTCCGTTAATCCCCTAAGGGTTGTGGAGCCCCTGTTGAAGACCTCTGCTCTAGAGAACATATACTGTTTTATAGATAAGAATGAAGGTATCTTCTAGATGTGCCTGAAGTCTTTCAGAGACAACCCATTGGAGAGAATAGAATAAACCCTTTAAATAAACTCTTTTCCTGCCTATAGGATTCCAGTCTCTTTGCCATTCAGACCTTATGGCTGGAGGACCTATTGCTAGATCGGAAAACCAAGAATTGCACTTCTATTTTTAGATCTAAAAGGGAGCTATGTCATGTTATAAGCCATGATATACATTTTCAAACAATGGTGAAAATGGATGCATGTTGCTTTGCAGACCAGAAGCTGCATGCCCCTTTCAAGACACTCACAAAAGGACAGCGTCAGGTGCCATGTGAGGCCTTCTGCTGTGCCGGCTGTAAAGGCTTGAGACCCCCACTCACTCTCTTTCTTAGTAGAAATGGCCAAGGCACTGGCTGCCCTAAACATCGCTAAAAATTATCTCATCATTCCTCAAAAGAATGATCAACAGAGGTACCAGTTTGGCAAAATATAGGACACCATTTCCAGCTTAACCATTTTGGTTTTTGATTAATTCTGATCATCAAAAACTACAATTTTTCCAAACACAAAACCCACTTTTCTTCTATGTGTAAAAAGTAACTATTTAATGTAGCTGAGTTTCACTTGTTTAATTAAGTTTATTTTTTTTTTACCTAAAGTAAGTTTGACCTGGAATTTTATTTTTATTAATAAATAATATTTTGGGTGGAAGTTGTTGTGAATGTATTCCTTATGTGTGCAGAGTCAGGATTTGAGCTTGAATCCCACTTTATCCTTTGCTCTAACTTACAGCCAGTTGTATGTGTGTCAATATATTACAGAACAAATTTATTTAATTAGATACAAAATAACATGAAGTCACAACAATGATTAACTGAATAACCTTTAAACATCTCTGATGGTGTCGGTTTAGTCAGATTATTAGGGTGATGACTCACCTGGGAGTCATCACCCTAATCAGCAGTTGCAGCCATTTAAGGACAGACCTCCACCTGCACAGCGTCAGAATGTTGTCTACTCCAAGTGGTAACACATTCAGGCCATTTGCTTAAACACTCCTAACCTGCTTTTGGTTTGTGTTTTGTTTTTCTCTCTCTTTCATCTAGTTATTCTTCCTGCCTGAACCGGTTCCCAAACCTTGGATTCCCTGGCTCTGACCCTCTGCTTGTCTGAACACGATTACTTGGATCATCCCAAATAAACCCACCAAGCTATAGCATCAGCATTAGAATAATGAGCTGATAAATGCTTTTAAATAGAGCTCTAAACAGAAACCTGTCTAGTTCTGTTGTCTGTTAACCCAGAGTACAGATTATTGATAAAGCTGGAATAGATGAAAATCTGTGTAAAAGCAACAGAGAGAGAGAGACTCACGTCATCGTCCAGCTTTTTGGCATCTTTGATAATAAAAAATATATATTCTCTTTTCATGGAGGTGTAGCACCATAAAGATATCTAGCACTGTCCTGGTGGTAATTACCTCAAGCAGACAGTTTCAATTCCCATTTCCTATTAAATGGAAACTCCCAGCATTATTATTTACAATGAGGAGATCAAACATTAGATGACACATTAATTCAAACCCTAAACTGACCCAGAATGATATGAATGTATTGCTTATTATCAGATATGTTAGTCTTGTCATTGTTTTATGTCTTTATGAGTATGTGGGGAAAAAGTGTGATATGACATGTATTGCTGGGCTTCACTAGGAAACAGTGAACTGCTGCAATTCACCAGTTTTATTGAGAAATTGATTTCTACCTATGCTTGCTGATAGTCTGAGTCTTTATCTCTGTTCATTTTGGGCAATGTAGTAGAATAATAGTAGAATTCTTAATACATCATCTTGACAAAAATATATATATTTTAATATTTTAAATTTTTATGTAAATAAAAAAGAAACTGAAAGGACAGATATTTCAAAAAATTCATAATGACTAAAAAAGTAATGTGAGAATGGCAAAAATATTAGTAGATTATCTCAAACTGAATATTTTCATAGCATTACTACTGTTTTCTATATTTCAATCTGAAAAACACAAAGAGAAAGACAATTAGGAGAAATTTATTGATACAATTACTTAGTCTTTGGCGCTCAGACCTCGGCAGGAAACATGGCGCTTAATTTTGATAGACATGCATGAACAGGAGCAAAAAATAGGGCTGTCCCCCCCTACCCCAGTCTGTAGACTGCTGGTTAGCGAGACGGTATGCTGAACTTTATGGGGAGATCCAGTTGACTGCGTGAGCTGATACTAGAGCTTCACTCAGGGACCTGGAAGATGGAAGTCCAGTTGGATAACATAGGTTGAGAGAACCTGTGCATGATGAGCAAGCATGAAGCGACAGTGGAAAGGAAAAACTCCCCGTTGGTAAGAAACCTCTGGCAGAACCAGGCTCAACATGGCGGTCTCCTGCCAGACCGGCTGAGATGAGACAGGGAACGCAGTAAGAGTCTGGGAAGAATGACAGCTTTAGCTACGATGGTGGAGGAGGAGCTGGAGGTGGGTTGAAACGGTGTCATCTGAATTAAGTCACACAGCATCCACCGCCTGCACACAGGAGCAGACAGGTGCGTATTGGAGGCCTTTTAAGATGAACTTTGGATGCCATCTTTACTTTTGTTTCATCAAGGCAGACAGAGCTGATTGCCTCTGTTATCGTCTTTGCCTGACTTGGTTATGTTTTAGCTGCTTCTGTATATTTGACATATTTCTACATAGTTACACACAAACCTGATAAGTTGAAACATACTCACCTTCAAAATTACAATGTTTCAGGGGTGCTCCGTCTGTAGCCTACATTATTTATAGTCCAACAGATTTTCCAACCTTGCAACATGTCCAAACTTTTCACATTTAAAACAGCAAAGATTCAGAGGAATAAATTCCCAAATGTAAAAACTTGAACCCACATACATGTTATTGGGTTAGATTCTCTGTTTAAACTTTAGCATGACAGAAAAACAATTAATTCCTCCCCATTTCTGGTTACTTCAACTAACTTCAGCTATTTCCTCTAATTTCTTCCACTGTTTAGATGGTGAATCAGCCAATCAGCTCTGTGCTTCCTTCCTCTTCTCTCCTTCAGACCCTCTTTGGCTCACAAAAGTCCTACTCACTGCACCTGACATGTGTTCCTTCTACAGCACTTTCAAAACCTGAAGAACTTTTTGAATAACTTTTATCTTCCTGAGGTAAAATGTTAAGAAAAATATGAGAATGTGACAAATCTCATGATCAAAATGACCAAAAAATCAAAGTGTTCAAAATTAATAACTAAAGGATGTAAGGGCATTATAAACAGCAGTATAATAGCAGAATGTAGATGTGCGAGAAAATAATGTTTGAGGTAAAATTGGTTCTCGCCATAAAGATATTAAAATAGTGCAAATGGAATGGATTTAAGGTTGTATATGCTCCTTTAAAGCCTGTAGTTTAAAGGAAATACTTGTAAATTCAGAAAAAAAAGGCCAAACTGAAGACTAAGAGGCTATCTGCTCAAATGGTAAATGTAGAATACTGTAAACAACCTTAGTTTCTTTATGTTACTGTTTACTAAATGAATTACAGCATATCTGGTTTCCTCTTTCTCTGCTGTTATGTTGTCCAGCCAGCAGGGGGCAGCAGAGCAGCATCCCACCGGAAGTAAACAGAAGATGAGGAGCAGAGCCCACAGGAACCATCATGCAGCTGCAGGCTTCAGAGGGTTCTTGTGGTTCTGTTCATTCATGCTGACTCTGACATGAAGAAACCAGAACCAGCCTTCTGAGAGGAACCTGTGAGTTTTCACCAGAACCGAGCCGCTGTTACATCCTTCCTCTCAAGCTGCCGTTAGCTTCACTTTTCCCTGACCTTCTGTCTTCCAGGTGACCATGTGACGGCGGGCCCTCTGAGAGTCTGATAGGGGCTGGTGTTGTGGATCTGAGGAGGACCCTCCGGGATGGAGACCTGGACCCCGAATCCCCGGGCCAAGCCGTTCATCCCGCGCCAGCAAAGGAGCTGGTACCTGACCTGGAAGTACCGTCTGACCCATAGGAGGAGCATCCGGAGGTTCTGTCAGGTCTGTGGCTCTGCTTCTGTCCGCAGGGCTCCGTTTGATCAGCGTGAAGCGAGAGTAAAATGTCCTGCAGGGAGATCAGCTCTCTGCAGCTCAGTTAAACCCAGATCTCTGCCTTCAAGGTTTTAGAACCTGGATCAGACACTTGTTGAACAGTAGGTGGTTCTGTTGGACATAAATCAGTTGGTAAAGGCTGATCATGACCTAAACCTGCAGAACGCTGATATAGAGCATCTGAACCTGGAGCAGGTCTTTATTTTCCCTGCAGGATAAACTGTGTTGGACTCCAAAACAAACCTGTTGCTGCAGGTCTGCCTCACAGTTCCAGTCCAAAGCTTATTTAAAACTGAGCTTAATCCTGCAAAGTACAATTAAAGGGGGATCTGACATTTTTTATGCTTATTTTGCTTCCTAATTCTGTGAAATAGATTAACCCTTCATTGGGCACTCAGTGAAATACTTTGAAAATCTAAATTTCTAGCCAATAGTGTTATTGGAATCCAGAAAAATACTTTATTACCTTTCTAACATTCAAAAACTATGGCTATTTTGATGGTAAAAATGAATGTCAATGTAATAACAAGAAAGGGCAACTTGCCCCAATATATTAAGAAAAATAAAAGTGCTTCTATAAGAAATGTATGAAAAACACTCTGAGAGTGAAAGAAACACAACACAACCTTTAGGGACAGGTGTTGTGAATGAAACAGTGCCCAGCTTGGAAGAGCTCCTGTGTGTCGCTGAATGTGTGCATTGATGACTGAAAGACATTAATGCTGATTAATGCTGGCCCTTACATTTTTTTTGTTTATAAACCTAAATGTAATGATTAACTAGGCTTATGAACTTTTTAACTTTACTTTTTAACTTTTCGTTTAGCTTTTTACCTTTTTTCCCGACTTAATTTACAGTAGGTAAAATATCATTCAAGGGCTCATCTAATTGGTCAAATGCCAAAATAAGATGTAGAGCCATGTCGCAGTATCTTTGCTGAATGGCTGGATATAGATCTTGTGCTTCTAGAACTCACTGAGGGACAGGGGTGGGGGATTTACTCTACTTGTAAGGGGGATGCAAAGGATAAAAAATGGTAACTTGCCCTATAAAGGATTAAAATATAAACCGTACCATGAAAATGAACATTATAGTTTGGTTTGTTTTTAGAAGTGAACCAGAAAAATTAAGGGAGGAAATGGGTGGAACCTGGTTAAATGACAGCGTTTAAACAGTGCATCCATGCGTTTTCCTTCCTCAGGCCGGGGCGGTGCTGTTCCTCCTTATTACCGTCATCGTCAACATTAAGCTGATCCTGGACACCCGCAGGGTTGCTGATGAAGAAGCTGCAGCTCAGGAATATGGTGAGAAAAGGCCTCCAGTCTATTATTTTATTCCTGCTGTATGATGGTTAAACCCTGCCCCTGGATAACTTAAATATAATATACCGGTAATGATTACAATATATATTAAGTCATTCTCAGAACACTTATGTTTAAAATAAGCTTAGCAATGCAATAACATTTTTGAAGAACAAACTTCAGAAAGACCTGATTTTTCTGTTTGACATTATCAGCTGAAAGTGTTGTATATATTTGATCATTGTTCCATCTATAATAACCTCTTATGTCGTTATTAGAGATTTAACTCTGCTGATCTTCTTTGCTCTTGTAGAAGATGTGATTCCAAACATGGAGACTCCTCGCAGGCAGGCCAGCGGACGCAAAGTCCTGGACATCGAGGTGTACTCCAGCCGCTCTAAGGTCTATGTGGCAGTAGATGGCACCACGGTGAGTGACCCGCTGTGACTTCATTGGACCCACATCCAGATTATCGACCCTCACAGCCCTACTCTCCATTAAATGGAACATCCCAGTTTAGTCGGGTTTAATTTGGGTTAAAGAGTTGGACTTCAGAGGTGTTGTTCTGGTTATTCTCATGTTCTAACAGGCACATTTCAAAAGAGCTCAGAGATAAGCTGCATGAATTATGCATTTATAAAATTGACATTAGAAAACAGAAGGGATGTAAATTGGACTAATTTAGATTATTGAAATAATCGTCAACTAACTTAAAAATCTATTAATCGTTAACTGGAGTATAGAGAATCTGCTACTAGCTAAAAGAGCAACCCACTCAAAACAGTAATTATAACAGAAAATGCTCAAGAACTCCTCACAGATTAAGCTTTTCCTGGTTTGAACACTATAAATTTTTATTTAAGGAATGTTTAGCTATCAGTTTATTGATCAATACATCTAAAAAAAATAAAATAAACAGATTAATCAATTAAGCTAAAAAAAATTGTCAATAGCAGCTTAGATGTATAAACACTGATTGAGTTTGTTTGGAGGCAGTGATGGTTCTAAACAACTACTGGGAGGAAGGATCTGTCACTGAAGCAGATGCATGGCACCTGAAGCACTGACACTGGAGCACTGCAGCTTCCTTATCTTTTGGTTGGCAGACCTGATCTGTGGCAGGGGTTCTGCAGTTGGACGTAAAATCACTTGAGGTCGGATGGGGTCAGGATCTATGGTGGAAAACCAAGTTCATCATATCTTTAACCTTGGATAACTATTAGGAGCTTCTCCTGACCAGGATGTGCCCCTGTAAACACGCCTGCAGGAGTCTCTGAACCAAGCAGAACTCCATGTGGGGCTGAAGGTTCTGCTCTTTGGGTCTTTAGCTTCATGCACTGAATCTTAGCAATAAAAGGTATCAGCTGATGTGCAAGTCGGTTCAGTGTCATGCAGCCCATCTTTGGCTTTGTTTTTTTTTTTGGTGGGCTTACTGGCTGTTTGCTACGACGGAGTATTAGGGCCAGGCTAGAGATTTTCTTTTTTTTGTAACATTACAAGAATAAAATAAAGTCGTAACATTAAGAGAATAAAGTCCTAACATTACGAGAACATGGTTGTAATATTACAAGAATAAAGTCGTAACATTACGAGAATATGGTCGTAACATTACGAGAATATGGTCGTAACATTACGAGAATATGGTCGTAACATTACGAGAATAAGGTCGTAACATTATGAGAATAAAGTTGTAACATTACGTGAATGAAGTCGTAACATTACGTGAATAACGTAACATTACGAGAATAAAGTCGTAACAT